TGTCCAAGCCAGGGCCATACTACCCACTAGCGAGCCTCAAATTTGCACCATCAGTTTCAGCTTCAGATTACACGGTGCGTCAGACTTGACTCCGGCCCCAACACGGACGAGAACCAGCGTGACAGACGAATGTTTAGTTCCGAGGTCGTGAATTTATATAACCACCTGCTTTTGCCCGCGCAAAACACCAGGAATGTGACGCGTTAACGTGGCCCATAAATCTGCAGTTCAGAAGTAACATCTGGCTACGTGCCAAGTGATTCTGAGAGTGTTGCGTTGGCGTCTGGTCTTCTCTAACCGCAGTTTTGGCGATGCACGCCAGGTTTGGTTTATGTAAAAGCCCTGGAACTTCGGGGACGAAACCGCAATAAACTAAACTAAGCCTAGTGTTAGCGGGCGTCTCACGGGCGTTTGGCGTGCTGAGCGTCCGTTCAGACCCAGCCCACTGTCGAGCTGTGGCGGCGTCTCATGCCACGAACAGCACGGCCACCAACGATCCAGAACCGGGGCCCGCCAGCAAAGCAAGACATCCACCGGTTATACAACCCACGTGAGCCCTTCCATCGGTCGCAGAATAGAGCGCAATCCGGCACACGCACAGCGACATGAGTTTATTCACAGCGCCTCAAGCATGTTCTGTTCTGCCTGACGTTACGTAGAATCTGACGGATGCGTTCGCAGTGAGACGCATTTTCTGCTTGCATCTTCGCAACTGTCATGACAATAACTGCGCATGCAGACTCCACGATTTTCGTTTGCAGATACTGCGCGTGCTGCTGGCGATGAAAGCAGTAAATTATGCTGTTTGTGACCGATAATACACCTTTTTACCAGCCGCGGTCGGTCCTGGGCACGCAGGTTGACTTCTGCATAATGAAATCTGTCGTGTGATCATTGCCTCTTTTCAGTGAGTCTTGGAAAAAGATTATACGCGTCCGACAAAGATTCTACGTGACGTCATGTATCGCACGATCCATGAACGCAAATTGTGTTAGGAATGACCACCGCTGGCAACTTTACCTAGCATTCTCACTCTCCTCAATACTATTTGATACCAGTTCTACGTCACTCACAGCCAGCACAGGAGCTTCAGGATTTTATTGGTGATTACAAAGGCCAAATTTGTCTTAATTGCGGAGATCATAACAATAATGAGCTTTTAACTTCTCACATAAATCCTTCATTGCTTTTGGAAGTTTGCTTGCAACGCAGGCTTCGAATGGGGACTGGCAGGAACATAGGAAGCAAACCATCCTAAAGAGACGCAAAAGCGCCACCCCACGCTCCCTGCCGCGGGGCCCTGTTGTTCCCAGCGCTCTGCCGCACCCTGCCCAGCGATGACGTCAACATCCAATATATTTGCCGTTGGTTCCACGTGTGCCCCGGCATCCTCCCTTTCTCTTCCCAACGGGCGCGCCTGGCCGTCCTCTGTCCCATTAGGCGCGCCAGCTGTCTCGCCGTGCTTCGCCGTCTCTGGCTGATACATGCATGCCACCCCCCCCCCCGTCCTCGATCCGTCCTGCTTCGGGGTGCAGGCCCTCTCTCTGCAAGAGCCGCGCACCTCTTTACACCGCGTTAACTTTCTCCTATCCTCCCTCTTTGCAGGCCCCTGTTGCGCCCCTGTCGCCCCAGTCACAGCATACGCAGTAGTCGTGACTCGTTTGCTATGCCATACTGGACTCACCAAAGCATTGATCCTCTTCTTGGCAGGATGCCAATGACCAATGTAGTTGACGTCGCCCGTCAACCTTAAGAATTAAATAACCTCTTGCATGCATTATTTATTTGTCAGCCACCGCTCAAAATTCGACCTAATTGCCTCGCCACGGGATCCTGCCACCAGGGGCGATCTAAGTGAGGGGGAACAATGGAGCAACGGTACCCTAACCCCGTCTCTGGTGCGGATTAACATTTGGCCATATGGCGTTACATGTGACGAAGGGGAGGTAATAAAGCACGTTGCCCCCCCCCCCCCCCCAGTAAGTTCACTGAGTCCGCTGTTACTGACACCACTCAAGCCTCCTTCCTTTCTCGTCTGACCAGTCTTCACCCCTGCCAGCCTCTCCGTTCCACATTGGCCCACCTGGCTGTATATCATCTTTTTCTCCCGAGATCTTCCCCACCCTCCCTCTGCGCGTGTCTGGCTTCGCCTCTGCCGCATCCCTCAGCCTTGTTCCACCCCGTGCGTTCCTTTATCACCCCCTTTCCTGAACCTGCCGCCCTTGTCCGCCCCCTGCGCGGTGCCTGGCTCCGCCCCTACCTACCAGGCCCGCCCATCCCTCAGCCTCGTTGCACCCTGTGCGTTCCTTTATCACCCCCTTTCCTGAACCTGCCGCCCTTGTCCGCCCCCTGCGCGGTGCCTGGTTCTGCCCCTACCACATCCCTACTCTACGTCGCACCTCGCACGTTCCTTTCTCACTTCCTCTCCTGAACTTCCCCCTCACCCCCCCCCCCTGCGCGGTGCCTGGCTCCGCCCCTGCCGCGTCGGTTCGAACCAGGCTCGGCGACGGACGGCGGCGCTCGTGAGTCGATACCGACGACGGCGGCGGGACGGCGGCGGGCGGCGGCGACGAACAGGTGACTACACGCTACACCGACCCGGCTGCCAACGGCGGCCTCCTCGCCGCCGCCGCACCTGGGGCTCAGCCGCATCGACCCCACCCGCACCCCCCGCCTCGCCTCCCAGCGCCCAGGTGTTGCGCATGTAAGGACGGTATCTGGTGTGCGGGAGCTAGTCACGAGGCGTGTAAACCTAATACCTGTTTCGTG